TAGCACCTACACAATCTTAGCATAGAGAAATGTATCAGAGAAAATAACAAAATACAAAAACAATTTAAGTAAAAATCAATAGGTTTTTCCAGTACCTTAAAGAAAGGCATGAACCTAGCATTAGCTTGTATCTTATATGGTGTTTCGAGTGATGGAGGCATAATCATTTGATGTTGCAACTCACCAATTGCATGTAAGACAACACTCAAGTACCTGCTAATAGTTTCCCCAGGTCTTTGAAAGTTGAATCGAATCACTTGATCATGTATACTATGGCAGAGAGTATGCAACATCATAGCAACTTGTTCTTCAATGCAAACGTGGAATGTGTCTGCTAGTAAATCTCCTTGTTTGCAACAAGTTGCATAAGTTAAAAGAAATATTCTTTCCTCATTCGCACCATATTTATGCAATCCGAATCAGAACCAAGGTATAACCTAGAGAGATATTTGATGCTGTATGCTCCGTTCAAGATTATATTTTTGCTTTCTTCTCCCTACCTCATGCATAAGTAGGAATATAACACTCACCATTGTAGCAATAGCCATATGAATAATTGAACGTTGTTGATTATCATGGAACCGTATGTCATCTGAATCAACTAAGTGATATTCAACTTTTTCTAATCATTCATCCATCTTTGGAATAGAAGTCAAAACACACTTCAATAATATCACAGAAATTATATGTAAGAAGATATATATGAAGTCATTTCTCTTCTTCCATAACCTTTTTAATTGAGAAAAAATGCACATTTTTTTTGGAAAGGATTCTTTTTTACTTGCTGCAATGGAGCAAATTCTGTATAGGAATTGAATGAAAGAACTATGGTTTTTTTACGTTATTTGCAATGATAACAAATTCTGCAACACTCAACAATTCAAGAAATAATATAAAACGAGCATTGTTGCCTTCTTAAAATATCTGCAGCCAATTATTTCTCCTACAATTTTATGGGTTAATTAATTATAAGTATATTCCTTCTAAAATCTCTCACTTTCAGAGAGTTATAGCTGCATCCAAACTAATAAAAATCTTATCTCTCTTCTATGGCGTAGAATTATTCCACATCTGACATTCTTAGCCATTGCTTCTCCTCTTCCTCTCATATCAATAACATAAAAAAAAAAGAAAAAAAACTAACAAGACATTATCTTTTTTTACTTTATAAAGTTTCAGTTTTGAGAGGATATGAACTACTGAAGCTTACAAATAGAAGAGAATCTTCTGTTTGATTTTTATTGAATAGAGAGGAATTAGCAGGTGTTACAGATATCTCTCACTTGAAGAAGAGGAAAATGAAATAAAAAAAAAAGTTAAATAAGATTGAGAAGGTGGAGAATGGCTAGTTGCAAACAATTTGGAAGAGAAAACAGAGGTATTGCTGATAGCAAAATTATCTCAATAGGAAGAATGAGTTCTTTGAGGAAGTTCAGCTCAAATTTTCACTCTTTTCGGGAGCATCGAAGGCCATGTCAATTAGAGGAAAAAAAAAAAATTATAACTAACCTCTAGAAGCAGTTCCCGATTAAGTTGTGAACTGGAGCAGCGACGGATGCGACATAGTGTGTGACGGTCACGAGCAACTCTCTCGTCGAAAAAAATGCAATGATCGTTGGGAGCTAGTTGCGAGCACGTGTGTATTAGCAGTGATGAAGGAGAAGACGAGATGCAATAGACAGACCTGCTTCTGGTTCTCGAATGCCTTTGTCTGCTGAAATCCTTTCTCGCGCGGTTTTGAGGGAGTTTAGAATACTTTGGGAATTTTATGTTACTTTTATACCAATCAAACATCAAAAAATTTAAAACCCTTGCATTTAGAATACTTTGCACCCTAAAATATTCCAACCAAACAACCCCTAAATGAAAATGGGAAAAATCTTAGGATATTGCTGAGGCTATAAGTTATTCTTTGTTGGATTGGGGCTGGCTAATTGTGGATAAAGAATTGAAAGGGGCTTCTTTTTTGTGTTAGCTTTTTCTTTTTTGGAATTTTATGTTGTATGGAAAAAACATAGATATAGTTGCTCTTCCCTATCTTTTTTTTTTTTTTTTTTGTCGAGGGATGGCTCTTATTGCAATCTCCATATATGATAGTAACTTGTACATTTTTTGCTTTTTAAATTAGTAATGCAAATGCACTTTTCAAGGTTAGAGAATTGAATTGAAAGATAAAATTATTGATGTTAATAACATTAGTAATAGGATGATTGCTATTAAGATAATTATTTGAAGAAATTATGAATTAGGTTGGTGCTTGCACTTTCTAATTTTGTTGGAAGTTAGTCTTAAATTTTGATTTTGGGCAGAGATGAATAAGATACTATATTTTGTACCTGTTAAAGAAAGGATAATTACTGGAGGTGATTTAAATGAGCATATATATTTTAGTAGGATGGGCTATGAAATGATTAATTGGAATAGGAGATATAATGATGTAACCTTAGTTCTTAAACCAAGTAGGAGAACACTATAAATGCAAATTAAGATACTTCCTTTCAATTTCACATAAACAAACACCAAAATGATGGACACTTGGTAGAAAACTAATATAAGAATTTGTTAGGAAGTCGCATACGAAAGAATAAATAACAAAACACATAAACTATAAACCCTCAAAACAATCACGAATGACCACCTCACATACTAACACAAACTAGGGAATGTGCTCAAAGGAAAGGACAAACCTGCTAAACACCATAGAAATTATGATCCAACACAAGACTTTGTTCCTCCAGCAAATACCAAAAGAATAGGGCACATTACCACTTACTACTCATAATAGTTTAGAGAAGAAAGATACATGTGGAAGGGAAACCGTGAAGAGAAGTATAAAGAAGATCGAGAGGAAGAAGTAGGGGTTAGGGAGAAGACAGCTCGCAAGTTAAGAAAAAACCCTCAGGTTTGAAATGGTCACTCTCCAAAAACTCCAGCAAAAAAAAATCAGCCACTATATATAGGAGAAACAAAGGAGAAAGAGCATTTAATTGCTCATATAAATGGATAACAGGGTAACCAAACAACTAGCAGGAAAAAAAAACCTAGCAGCCATCAATATAAGGGAAGGAATGGGCCAAGCCCAATAAAGAAAAGAAACATCCCACAAATAATCACCCAACCAACCACTAAGGAGCAAGATCAACATATGTGGAAAGACAATTGTATGAACCGACTTGAGAGCACCAAACTCGGCATGATCATGGGTTGTTTTCCATCATAAGTTATACGAAATAAAATTAAATAGCGTCCAAAACACAAGAAAATAAAAAATATAAAATGATATATCTTGACTGCATCATATAAAACCTAGAAGCTATGCTTGATTTTACAAAATCTAAGATCTTGAAATGATGAACATATTCTTTAAGAAATGAGAAAAATATGTGATTCTTTTCTAAAGTGGATTCACCAAATCGCAAATGAATTTTTTTCTTTATTAGAAGAAAGAAAGACATTCTTGTAAATATTGTAGCATTATTCATTGTGAAAACTTAACCACACAATATAGTAGTTTTGGATTCATATCTTACATGTGAAGAAAACAATCAAAGAAAATATGACTCCAAGATAAGATAGTGGAAGTTGAAAAGTGAGAAACATTTTATCTTCCAACATGTATTGCTAAGAGAGACATTTAAATTCTTTAGCTGAGTCAAACATGATGTTGGATAAGATGAATAGTTCCATTATGATGATTGTTGTAGAAGTTTTCTAAGGGAGTCTAAATCATAAACGAAGAAGAAGACTTGGTAGCGAAGTGAGGAGATACAAAGGTTATTAAGGAAAGTAAATACACTTTTAAAAGGTGAAAAAAATGAATCAAGAATCCTGATAAGGCTTATAATTATTATAAGAAAGCTAGAGGTCTGGCAAATTGAATAATAACTAAAGCAAAAAACTATATTTTATTATGATTTATACAGTAGACTTGTCCCAAAGAAAAAAGAAAAAGAAATATATAGAATAATTAAAGTAAGAGATGAGAGATATAGGAATTTTGATTAAATTAGATAGATTAAAAGTGAAGATGATAGGATATTGGCTAAAGGCGAAGGCATAAGGAAATAAGTAAAATTTCCTTTGAAAGTTACTAAATCAGAGCTTGAGGAAGATATTGTTTTGGAAGAGCATAACAAACAATATAGTGAAAAAAGTGGATTTAGCTCTGAAACAAATGTATAAAGATAAAATTTTATTTTTTGAAGAGATATCTATTGAGGTTTTGTGAGTTATGGGAGAAACTGCAATGATCTTTTAGCAAATATTTTCATTAGAATTTTGAAGAGTAAGACGGTTGAAGATAAACATTTTGGTATCATATTTAAAAGTAAAGGCGTTATTCAAGATTGAATTAGCTATAGAGAAATTTAACTTATGTAAAAGATACTAATGAAATATAACCTTTGAAAAATTACATCAATTTTAAAGAATCATTTTGGTTCTATGTCGAAAAAGATCTATGGAATAAATTTGTGTTAAGATAATTAATGACTATATGGAGAACAAAGAAAGGATCTTTATATGATTGTATTGATTTTGAGACAACATATGCTACTGCCATGGAAATTGGCTTGATGTGCCTAAAAGGCAGAAATGTGCGTGTCATAACATTTGTTTACATTATTAAGGATACACCAGCTAGTTGATTATCTAAATGCTTATAGATGATATTCAAAGCAAGATGCCTTGATGGATGCTTTTTGTAAATGATATAGTTATAATTAGTGGGACATTCACCGAAATAAATGGAAAATTAAAAAAGTGGAGCAAATGTTTACATGATGTCAGCACAGTTAAGAGGGCTGAAGGCGCATCAATTATGCCTCTGCTTTGACTAGTTTTTTTGTTTAAACACTATTCTGGATGTGCGGGGTATCTTAATTTGTGCTTGAAGAGTTTTAGCCGTGCAGTTATTTTCTTTGTGTACGGTGCTTCATTATTTCATTTGGTTAGCCCTATATTTTGTTTTACTCTAACTGTGATATATGAATTTAATGTAGGATGGACGCAAGATTCAGGTGGGCGATTGTGCACTCTTCCAAGCTGGCAATGCTCCACCTTTTATTGGAATAATTCGTAGGTTTTCAACAGACAAAGAAGATTGTTTGAAGTTATGTGTAAACTGGCTTTACCGGCAAGCTGATATAAAGCTTGCAAATGGCTTATTGTTGGAGGCGGCGCCCAATGAAGTTTTCTACTCTACTCATAAGGACATAATTTCTGTCACTTCAGTGCTTCATCCTTGTAAAGTTGCTTTTCTAGGCAAGGATGTTCAGCTTCCATCAGGGATATCTTCTTTTGTGTGTAGGCGTTTTTATGACCTAGAGAACAAGTGTCTATGGTGGTTAACCGATCGTGGTTATATAAAGGCAAGTTTTATTGCCTTCAATATACAATGTGAATCTCTTAGAAATTAGATGTCTTCTTAATAATATTGGCACTTTTTCCTGACATTTTCCTTTGTTACTCAGAGGAGACGAGAAGAGTTAGATCAGTTATTAGATAAAACTCGGATAGAAATGAATGCAACTGTGCAGTCTGGAGGTCGTTCTCCCAAAAATTTGAACAGCCCGATTTCAGCACAGCAATTGATGCCTACTCCACCAACTTTACAGAATAATGGAACTACCTTCTCTTCACAAATTAAGGGAAAGAAGAGGGGGAGGGGTGATAAAGGTATGGAGTTGATTAAACGAGAGCATATTCTAAAAGCAGATGATGGTGATTCTGCTGTTTGCAAATTTGATAACATCACGATAAAGGCTGAGATTTCCAAAATAACTGAGAAAGGTGCTTTAATAACTACCGATGGTGTGGAAAAGCTGGTTCAACTGATGCAGATTGATAATAATGGAAAATTGGACTTAGCCTGCCGGGTCTTGCTTGCAGATGTGATTGCAGCTACAGATACAATTGACTGCCTTAACAAGTTTGTGCAGATCAGGGGATTGCCAATATTTGATGAATGGCTTCAGGAGGCACACAAAGGGAAGGCTGGTGATGGTCCCAAAGAGACCGATAAATCTGTTGAAGAGCTTGTGCTGTCCTTGCTTCGTGCACTAGATAAATTACCTGTGAATCTTAACGCACTCCAAACTTGTAATATTGGCAAATCCGTGAATCATTTGCGTGGTTCTAAGAACATGGAAATTCAGAAGAAGGCTAGAAGCCTTGTGGACACATGGAAGAAAAGAGTTGATGCTGAAATGAAGACTATTGATGCAAAAACTGTTGGGTCAAGTCAAGCAGTTACATGGCCCGTGAAACCTGGTTTCACTGAAGTTACTCATGCTGGAAGCAGAAGAACTGGTTCGACCGGCTTAACTATGAATAGGCTAATCACTCAGCAGTCTACATGTAAGGCTTTGCCTGGGAAGTTTGTTCCTGCAGATGATGTTGTCAGGCCTGCTACTCTGATTGCAGGATCTCCAAAGCTGCAATCACCACCTGCAGTAACTAGCTCAAAAGCTATTGGTGTTACTGGGGCTTTGGACCTGCCTCATGTGGTAGCAAAGGAGGAAAAGAGCAGCAATTCAAGCCAGTCTCAAAGCAATAGTCAATCTTGTTCTAGTGATCACGGAAAGACTATTAGCCCTTGTTTGAAAGAAGATGCTAGGAGCTCAACTGCTAGATCAGTGAATGCTAGCAAGACCTTTGTTGGTTCATCTCATCCTCAAAAGTCAAGTAATGGGTATATGGCAATCAGCTGTTCTGGGGGACAGAAGGATTCAAGCAAACCTGGCTCTGTTAGTAGGACTTCGGTAGTTGATAATGCTTCGCAATCTGCACTCAGTTGTGCAAGAACAGTCAATATGCCAGCTTCAGATCATGGCAGCAGCCACAGGTTTTTTGTTAGACCGCCTAACCCGAACCATAGCCCTTTAAGAAGTATTAGCGGAAGCTCCTTGGAGGAGCCCTCAACTGGTAGCAGAGCATCATCTCCTGGTGTCTCTGATAAACATGACCATGGAGATCCTGAAGGAAAAACAAGGAATGATTCTGATAATAATAATATTTCTGCTAATCTAAATGCTGACTCATGGCAGAGTAATGATGTCAAAGTGGGGCTTGTTGGATATGACCAGGGTGATGGATCAGCAACAGTTGTACCTAGGGAAGAAGTTAGAGCTGCTGTTGAAGCTGGAAGTGCATCAGAAATCTTGAGAACTGCCTGTTCATCATCAGGTAATGAGAGGGGTACTCCTTTTACTGATCCCAAGATGAATTCTTTTAGCTCGATGAATGCGTTAGCTGAGAGTTGTGCCAAATATTGTGAAGCTAGCTCGCCTTTACCAGATGGAGATGATGTTGGAATGGATTTACTTGCCAGTGTTGCTACTGGAGAAATGCTCAAATCCGACTTGGTTTCCCCTGCTGCTTCTCAAGGAAGTTATCCTGCCAAGGAGGACCACTTTGCGGGCAGTAATGTGCCCAATGTCAGATTTTCTTCTGGTGTTGCGGGTTGTCAAATTCTCAGTCCATCTGCTGAAAATAATGATTTCCACTCTCACAAAGATGGAAACAAGAGTGGTTCCGTCTTTGTAAAAGATCAGATACAGAAGGTGTTTCCGAAATTCACATGTAATGACCAAAAAATGGTACTCTTATTGGAAAGTAAATTCACTATTTTGCCAACTGATCTGCTGCTAGAAATTCAAATGAAACTATGGAACTTGTTCTTTTATGTCATGCAATATTTGAAGCATTGTTATTTGTTTGTTTGTTTCCCTGTAGGTTTCAAGGGACAGCTCAACAGAGAAGATGTGGATCAGGACGAAGATGCACGAGGCGTTGATGGGAAGGTTAGTGATGATTTCACTGGGAAATCTGAGAGTCCGGTTGGTGAAACAAAGTCCTGTGGCCATGTTTGTGAAAAAATTGCCGAAGGGAGTATGCATGCTTCTGATTCAGATAACAAATTGCTGTTTCATTGTGTTGGTGGAAGTTCTGTACAGCAACCTCCTTCAGATAAATTAGAACAGAGGCCTCCCACCTTAACTGGACAACAGACATCTTCTATTGTAGAAGTTACAACAAAGGATGTGGAAGTAAGTGGTGATGCAATTGCTACCGCCATTGCTGATAAGGTTCAATATACAGAGAATGTCTATTTATTGATGACCAAAATATCTGATGTCTTGCAGGATGATTGCCAAGATGCAAGCGATAGGAATGTATCTGCTGAAGAACATACTGGATTTACTTCAAGCAGTCATGTCATGGCCAATGGCACTGAGACCATTGAAAGGAAAGGTTCTCTTGAGAGCTGTGTTGCAGGCTCAGTTGGCAATTATGAACTGTCCAATATATCTAGGGAAGCTGAATCCCCTGCAAGAAAGGAGGAACTCGTATCAGTGTCAGAGGCTACCTCATATGTAGCTGCTGCTGCTGAGCGAGATGCTGGTGGTAAGCTTGACTTTGACTTGAATGAAGGCCTACCTGGCGAGGATATAAACCAAATCGAGCCAGCTACGACAGTGACACCTGTTTCAACAGCTACAAGGATGCCAAGCTTACCGCCTTGCATATCTTCTCTTGTTTTAAGTAACTCACCTTGTCCAATAACTGTTGCTGCTCCAGCAAAAGGACCGTTTCTTCCTCCAGAGAACTTGTTAAAGTGTAAAGGAGAACCTGGATGGAAGGGTTCAGCTGCTACCAGTGCGTTTCGCCCGGCAGAACCTAGAAAGGTTCTTGACAGGCTGCTCACTACTGACGTGCAGTTATCCGACAGTGCAACTACTAAGAAAGCTGACCCTCAATTGGACATTGATTTGAATGTTCCCAGCGACAGAGTTCTTGATGATTTAGCCTCTGAGAACTTCCCTGACACTACAGAATCTGAATCAGGTATCATTATCAGCACTCCAGCTGCAAGAGCTATTGGAGAGCTTGATCTAGATTTGAATAGGGTTGAAGAAGATATGGAAAATGGCCATTGCTCTGCTAGCTCCAGCTGTAGATTGGAAGTTTCACTGTTGCCCAAAAGATCTGTGTCTGAGACACTTGCTAATGGGGAGATGAATATGTCGAGGGACTTTGATCTTAACAATGGACCAGTTCTCATTGAAGTAGGTGCAGAGCCTGTCCGAAGGAAACAATTGCTGAAGAGCAGTGGTAATGTATCATTTGTTCCTTCAATTAGTGCTCTCAGAATGAATCATACTAATGCTGGAAATGGGTGGTTTCCTGCTGGAAACTCCTATCCAGCAGTTGCTGCTCCATTCTTACCTGATAGAGGAGGGTCATCCTACCCAATTGTTGCATCTGCAGGGGCCCAGACGATTTTGAGGCCAGTTATAGGTTCTGTTGCCTATGGAAGTGATGTATATAGAGCACCAGTCCTTTCATCTTCTTCAACCATGGCCTTCTCGCCAGGTGCTACGTCATTGCCTTATGTTGGCTTCCCTTTTAGCTCTAGCTTTCCGTTGGCATCAACTTGCTTCACAGCTGGACCAACAACCTACGTTGATTCACCAGCAGGTGGTGCTTCATACTTCCCTCCCATCTTTTCTCAGATTGTTGGACAGGTAGGTGCTATGCCTTATTCTTATCCAAGGCCCTATGTGATAAGTCTTCCAGATGTTAATACTAGTGGTGGAACTGAAACCTGTAGCAAATGGGGGAGGCAAGTTCTGGATTTGAATACTGGCCCTGGAAGTACTGAGGAACTAAAAGACGACAGGATGCGTTTGTCTTCTAGTCAAATTTCTGTTACCAGTTCACATACCTTAATGGAGGAACAGTCAAGGCTACATCAGCTGGGGATTGGTAGTTTGAAAAGGAAGGTGCCAGGAGCTTGGGAAACAGAGAGATTTAATTACAGTCATTCCTCATGGCAGTAAGAATATGTGGTATAATGGGAAAGTCATTTTGTCGTTGGCAACTTAAATACTAGTGTCTAGTTAGCCGGCAGTTGAATCTTTTTTGCGTCCTCTTTTAGGCTTTGCAAATCTGTTGGCATTGGTGATATGTATTTTGTTCTTGTTCATATGGATGAGAGTAGATAACCTTGGATTACAGGCACCACCAGCTTTAAGGAATTTGTACCTCTTTTTTTTTTTTTTCTCTTCGTATAAGTTATACACATTTGAGACCCTTCCGGTCCTTGTGTAGGTCAAGGTGATGTGGAGCTCGTTCGAATTGAAACCTTGAGTTAGTCCTTGTAAATATTGAGATACGATGCTTTCCCAGAAAAGAAAAAAAAAACAGTTTTCAATGTTCTAGCAGTTGCCATGTTTTACTTTACTCCCTGTCCTTTCAGCCATATTTATTCGCAAACCTTGAGGACAAAGCATGGAAGAGGATGTTAAGTAGTCTGCTTTACTAAACATCTTCCTCAGGTAAAGTGTGCTTTTTTGGATGTAAACCTGTGTTCTGCTGATTAGTTTCTTTTGCAAAATTGTTTAAGCTTCAACATGCATGCTTGATTTTATTGCATCAGTCACTTGTGTAACTTTTATTGAATACTGATCCATTTGAGACCACATCTCACTGGAGAGATTATTCTGTGCGGACACTTGACACAGCTTATCATTCAGAGATGAATCAGGTGCAGCCATATCATCCAATACCGAGTAGTATCGAACTGCGGTACCGAGTAGAGGGTGACGTGACACATTTTCATTGGGCTCTGGACAATGTTCAGTGTCCCCACAGAATAATTTGCCCTCTCACTGAGGCATAATATTGTTTCATGGTTGTATGAACTAACCTTCCACAGTGAAGGGATTGTATTTCCCCACTAAGTTTTGTGAGTTAGAATTATCATTCATTCATAGAACCATGCTATACTCCCTATAGGGGTAGAAGCCGTTGAGAGCTATTTCTTCTGTCATTTTCACGTTTTTACTCTCTTCTATGATTTGATTTGACTACTACTGATGGTTACTTTGCTCTTTAATTGCTTTAAATGAACTAGATTTCATTTTTTAGTGATTCTTTTGCAGGTTTTGATTTGGAGAAAAGAATATATTTACTACTTTTTCAAGGCAAGATCATGCATCCTTCTTAATATGATATTTAGTGACGTACAGCAAGGAATTCATACTGATTGCAGTGAAATTTTGTAATTTTGTTCAGTAAGCAAATGAGTAAAAAAATTATCTGTTATTAGCTTATTTACTTATTGAGGTATGCATGAGCTATTTGCAATCATGAAACATATTTGTAAAATGTACATGTTTGCAATGTATTTTTATCTTCAATGTAAGCTGGATTGCCATTTTAGGTCATCTCAAGAGTAATAATAACAACAGATTGTTGTTTGAGAGGATGTTGAAGTCCCGAGAGGAGATTGATGATTAGTTCTGAAGAGTTTTCTCAATAAATATTATTTAGTGTAATCAAGTGATAATAAATGTAACAGTACTTCAATATCCATTTCTCAAGTTCAAATTCTCTCTCATGCTGCACGACCCTTTAAGTATGGAGAAAATAATTGTGGGTCTTATACCTGTGGGGCTAATTGATGGTAGGCTCGCTGAGGAATTAGTTACGCCGTGAAGCACCTCCTAGGGGGATGGCAGTGGATAGATACCTAAATTCCAAAAAAAAAAAATGATTATATCTAATGCATAGAGAGGGTGACAACTCAAGCATTAATGTCCTAAAACAAGATAATATTACTTTTAATTTATTACCTTCCATAAAATAAATACTCACTAACTCCTTGCATAAGATTTAATCTACAATTGATTAATTGAATACATGAGATAAAGATCATATAAAGCATTTGTATCATAAAAAAAAAAAAAAAAATTCAATCTATGAGACTTCCTCCCTCCATCTTCTCACCATCTCCAACAGTATCTCATTCCACGTATCAATAGGTCCCGGCAAGCACCAATGAAGGCAATCATTCTGTACCCTTTCCTTAACCCCACCTTCAAATGGGTTCGGGTTCATGTAAGGCCCAGGATGCCCGTCAGGCCTCATCATCGCCATTCTCGTCACATCCAAAACTTCCACCTTTACCGCCGCCGCCGCAGCCTCCTCGAGCTCAATATTCCTCATTTCCTTGTCCATATACTCCATCTCCTTCTCCCCTTCCCGAAACGGCTCCTTCCTCGCACATGCTCCTGCCTTGTCCCACTCCCCTTCAAAATGCGCCGGAGTAAAAGTCGTCACCACAGCCATCTTCTCCTTCCCCTTCCCCATTCTCCCCACAGTCGTCCTCACAGCCGTTCTCACCGACCTCCGAAACGCGTCGAAGAAACCCGTCTCCGTCATGTTAACCAAATCCTTACAATGGTGACACCCGAACACTTCGCCGCCTCGGTCATAAAAGATTCCGGGGATAAGAAACCAATGCCCCGCTGATAAAACCACTATATCAATTCCTTCCAGCTCCGCCGCCCATTGCTCGTCGGCTGAATCCAGAAACAGTTGATTGTGCGTCCTTCCCTCCGCCGCCGACTTCTCTATCCCCTTCACTAGAAACGGTGACCAGTATACAGAGAGGGTTGTGTTATGAGATCGGAAAAACCACCGCCGGAACTTATTCTCATCCCCGCGGTTGTATACGAGGTCCGGTGGGCCGTTGGCGGTGGACAGAAGGCAGAGGAGGGATTCCAGTTGGTTGCGAGCAAGAGAGTCGCCAACAAAAGCCAGATGTTTGTTAACGAGAAGGTCAAGGAAAACGGCGGCGGAGAAGGGGATGAGTTGGCAGCCAGTCGGCTTCCATCTCCAGTGCAGATAGCCCGTGTCCGGCCGACCGTGGGCCATACAGTTCTGACCAGACTTGATCGTTTTGCAAGAAGTATCGTTGTACTGCGGAGGGCGAGGGTCAGGAACCCAGCGCCCGTCGGCGAAATCGCATCGCCTGCCGGCGGGTACTTGAGCCGTGGCTATTCTGATGGGCTGAGCAACTGGTTCTTGAGATAGAATGGTTGTGTTGCGGAGAGGGGGACTTAAGTGGTTGGGATGAGGAGAAAGGAAGAAGATATAGAGGTTTAGCAGAGATAAGGGTATGATTAAGAAGTAAATGGCGGTCAAGATGAGTTTTTGTTTGCAGGGGACAGCGAAGGGAAATGGAAGGTGGAGATGAGGGTTTGTTGTTCCCATTATAGCTCTGTGTTTCACGGGAAAGCTTGCTTTTTGCAGCAGGACTGTTGAGAAAAATGAGAGGAGAACGGAGGTGCCAAAGGCAAAGGAGAGGGGAGAGATGAGGAAGAAAGGTGTGGGCCCTGAAAAGAGCGGTTGTTGTGAATTTTCCTGCAACTACTCCGGTCTCTATATTACTTTATATCCATCACTCATAGTCATAATAACAAAGCAATTTGAAGAAATATCGTCTCCAAGAAATATATTTTCTTTTTATTTTTCGGCCATATTTTAATAATCTTGTATATTTTTCAACTATTTATCAAATTTTATCAATAATTAAGATTTTATTTAAGATAACTTTCTTAAAATTTTATTTTTCAAATCATGATTATAATTTTTATTTTTCATTATTCTTATGATGCCTTTTAAAAAAATTATACTTAAAAAAATTATTTTGTATAATAAATTTAAAATGGTATTTTCTATGTAGTAGCTTTACAATAAATAAAACCCAAGTTGATTTAAATTAACTTGAAATAGTTATTGTTTGGAGCTATTTCATATATAATATCAAATTTAAATTATTTATTAAATAAATTTTTTTATATATTTAATTTTCAAAATTCCACCTATATAAATTTTAAATTTGATAATTAAAAAAAGGAAGATATGACTTTTGAGCGCTATTTTTATAAATAAGGCAACTTTTTATATTATGTTTTAGAATATCCCACATTAATTTTATGGGTTACTTTTCATATTGAGAAAAATAATTTTAAAAAAATATTCCAAATGAAGTCATATTAACTAATTTATTTTAATTCAAATAATGAATTTTATAAGTTTTTAATTCAAATAATGCCCCATCTATTTTAGGTAAGCTCTTCTTAGGCAAGTGTCTTAACTAAGCAAGTTCTTCTAAAAAAAGTGAATTGGAGGTGGATCCCCCGGCTAAGGCAAGTGTGCATTGGGCGAATATATCATGATTGGAGCGAGTAACATATTTTGTCTTTGTTTGGGATGACTTTCTCACTGCTTCTTAAAACAGTTTTTTAGTAAAAAAAAAAATTATTTTTATACTAAAAAATTGCTTTGTCCCACACAACGGCTTAGTCAAGCTCATTTAGGACGAATAAGCTTGATCTTCTTTGCTTTCTCATCAATACTTCTTTAGGTAACTTGTTTACATTGACATATTGAGGTCTAGATATAGAGTATTTAATAAATAAGATAATAATTTTCTTGGAGGGGAGGAAAACGTGTATTTGTATAACTAGGTTTAATAAAAAAAAAAAAAAGGTTTAATAATAGAAGGACGCAAATGGTACAGTTGACCTTACACTTCAATTTTATGTTAGGCAAAATCGTGCTATGCTGTAATGGCCGATTAGTTTGTCATGAGCTTTTTTAATTATTAATTTAATTTAATAATTAAGCTTTTAAAGGTATTATTTTATTTAAAAAACATCATGTATGTTAGATTTTAAATTTGAAAATTTTAAAGAATTATATCATTTTAAAATTTTTTATATTAAATATAATATTAAAATATCATGCAGAATAAATTCCAGATTCCTTTGGCTTGAGTGAGTTGCCCACCAATTTATAGGCTTCCTAGCTAAATTAGTGGGCAGTTTCTATCTCATTTAAGAGATCTAACAAATAAAATAATATTATTAGTTTTGCGTGAAATCTGATTGTGTTTAAGGTTATTCATATCGTAATTTTATTGGCCAAATTTGACGAGGAGCTTCGTGTTGCCCTTGCTCAAGGGTCAAATGATGAAATGAAGCATCTTCATGTTTCATATTAGTCTTCTCCTTTAGTAGATAAGTATTTGTGTACTGGTTACTTGCTATCAAAGTGGTCAGCTAAACAAGCCGGCCTATGTGATCAGTTGTGGCGTACTAACTTACTCCAACAAGGCGCTAGTTGGGATGTGTGAAAACTCCACAGCCCTTAGGCTATGGCTCATTCAGGGAAATTAATTGTATTCTTGAAGTCCCTGAAGTTTCAAAAGAGGCTGAGGAGGATCTCGATTCAAAGAATCTAGATTCTTAGACACTGGCAGCTAAGGCATTACTTTCATGTATGTATCAGCAGCACGACGACGTTGTTGCTGTGATGTATATTAGGGAGCTAATACACTAGTGCACTACTTTATCATGGGATGCAGCACGTCGACGTTGCAAGCTAGGTTGGACACAAAGAATAGAGAGAGAGAGAGAGAGAGATTTGAATAATTTCTCTCATTGTTCATAGTAAATTTCTTGATTTGATGAGATATTTGCAACTGTAGATAATGATATAGTTTAGTGTTTTAGCTTTATACAATGATCCAGCACACAAACATATAAGAGAGTATGATTATAGCATTTATAAGGGACACCATGATTTTTATGTAGAAACCCCTAAAAAGGAGAAAAATTATAGGGCATAGCCAAGTTTGAATGAATCTACAAGTGTTTGTTAATGATTATAAATGAGGCATTTACTAAGGAGAAAGATATTGGCTCGTTGTAGCAAATATACATCATATAAAGTACATTATATGATGAGAGTTGGAATAATCAATGTTGATATCTTTGTTTGGGCGGCATGACTATAATTGGTGGACAGTGATGAGGAAGAGCTCCGGCGGCGATCGGTGGACGGGCGAAAGTCCGGCAATGGTCTAGAAGAACTTCGGCGGTGATCGGCAAATGGATGGAGTCTGACGATGGTCAGGAAGAACTCTGACGGTGATCGACGGACGGTCGAAAGTCCGACGATTGTCCCGAAAGAACTCCGGCAATGATCGGCGGACTAGCGAAAGTTCGGAGGAGATCGGGAAGAACTTTGGCGATGGTCGGCGACAAGCAAGCTCCCAAATTCTTCCATTCTCTTCCTCCTTTATCCTCCTCTCATGATTAAAATGTGGGTTATTTATAGTTTTTTATAGTGGCATTGCTTGTAAATATGGGGATGATCAAAGTTAAGATGAGAGTGGTTTGAATGTACGACTGATATTGATCCTTTTGACAGTGGACTATTTATTAATCATTTGAATGTTTTAATGTTATCAGAGTTTGGAAATCTTGGGCTGTTGGATTTGTCTCGTTGAGCCCCTTGATTTGATTATAACCATGTCATGTTTGGAATTCGCTTGGTAATCCAAATTATACTTTAAACCCTCCAAATATGCTTTGGACCTTTAATTTGGGCTTGGATTTCACTAATTTTGGTGTCGTTGGGTTCGTCCTTCCGAGATGTTCAGTTCGACTATAAAATTGTTGAAAGTGGAGTTTGGATGGTCCTAGGGCTGCAAGCGAACAAACGTTTGATGAGGTACTCGTTACTCGGTTTGATCAAAGCTCTTTTGATATCGTTTGACTAACAAAACAAACAAACTTGAACATCATTTTAAATATTCGATCTTTAAATAAACAGAGTTGAACACTAATGTGTTTGGTTCATTTATGTTCACGAACAACATCATTTGAAGCTCGTAAACAAACTCGACATTAAGCTCGATAAGAAACTCGATCTGTGTTCGATTCAGAGCTCTTGAATAAACTAAATAAAAAATTGATTAATATTTAATTACAAAATTGATAAATATACATAACATAAATATTTTAAATTTATTATAACATGATGAATTTGTTCATGAACAAGAGACATTTTACATTTATTCATGTTTGCTAGATTATTTGTTTAAGATGTTCATGAATAAATTTAAGATTTGTTTGTTCAATAAATGTTTGCTAAATATGCTCCCGAACATTGCTCATTAATATTTGTTTGTTTAAAGTTCGATAAGTACTAAACGAACCGAACATGAAACGAACATGAATCAAACATGAACACTGATAAATTAAAGGAATCAAACATGAACACAAATAATAAAGCTCGAAATTCGAATCAAACATGAACCGAACTTGAACAAGACAATAATAAACAAACTCAAACATGAACACTCACATACTCGATTCAGCTCGATTCGTTTGCAGCCCTAGATGATTCCAGATTTAATTTATGTAACCTTAGTCTGATATTTACTTCAAAATTTGTGCCAAATCTAGTCAGCTTTTGGTAACAAAGGTTTATTTCGCTGTTATCTTTACTTATTTGTTACGTTATGTTATTATACTTCCCAACAAATCGGAGATATAAAAACTTTTTAACTCATCTATCTGATTAGCATTGAGATTCGTGTTCGATCAGACTGATCTGCGGGCCGTAAAAATATTGAAAAATTGCTAGAGATGTGGACCCAATGGTACGACTTTGTTTTTTTTATTTAAATTTTATTTTCCTATCTTGCTTATTACGCATTTGACGGTTTAGTGTACTATTATTTTCTGTGTGCGTGGAATATCTGAATATCATATAAATAAAAATGATTTTTTTTTTAATATAGTGAGTTCAAAATTTAATTTAAAATTAATATTATATATCAAGATTATGTATTTTATATTAATATAAAAATAAATTTAATAGACATCAATCCATTAAAATATAAATTTTATGATTTTTTTAATAATTTTTTTAAAGTTAGATTGTACATGTGCATATAATAACTTTACAGGACAAATTGATTTTGTTGTAAAGGCTAAATATGTTTGACATTAGAATGTCAGAGGAAAATCTTCTCCTTTTATAGAGAATACAGAAAATAACATAGAAATAAATATAAATTATGTTGGTTCAGTCTATTGAACTGTCTAGTATAAGACAAATGCTAAATACTTTCTTATTACTTGAAGAGTTAGGGTTGAGGATAACAAATAAAATAGCAATTATAAGACAAATCAAATTTATAGTGGTTCGATATTGATATGTCATCAAAAAATTATTGTCCTAATCGGACACAAAACTCGACGTAAATATGAATAAGAAACTTTCAAAATTAAATCTTAAATCATATGAACTCCGATTTTATCAAACTTATCGTCAAATTGAACGTCTCGAAGATAAGAATCTAACAACACCAAAATCGATTCAGTATAAACCCAAATGAGTCCAGATAGAAGTCTTGAAGAACATTTGAAAGATTCAAAACATAGATTTGATGACAAAACTATATCTAAATAAAGAATGTTTATAGTCGAATTAAGTGGTTCAACGAGACGAATCCAACGAGCCCAAGATCACGTAATTCTAACATGATTGGGCACACAAATGCTTGATAAACGCTCCACGATC